AGAATATTATCATCTTGACCCTTGTGTAGAAATAATGTAAATACAAGTTCGGTAAGCTCATCTCATTGTCGTCGTCATGACATAGGTTCATAGTTTTACTGGCATATATTTTTAGTGGAACACTCGTCCTCTTTAAATAGAGGGCCGGCCTCCTTTTGCCGTCCCGCTACATTTCCATTGCCTGAAGACCTGTGATATAGACTGGGGTCATACGAAAGTGGTGTTTTCAAGAACAATTATTATAAATAGTGTATGTAAAGGTCATTGACCTCTCAAAGGTCACCAGAGGTCAAACATGAAATGTCTCCACATCTGAAAATTTTCTTCATGGCATGAAGAACCAACATGCGAAGTTTCATGCTTTAGTCACAAGGTGCACAACTGTATCACATATTTGACCTTAACAGCCCCACTATGCCGCCGATCGTTTACCACGTACGGCCTAATGACGAACGTCTTGACCAAGGCTCATTTTAACACGGTTTGGTTGACTTTAACGACAAGATAAACATTAGTTTGTACTGATATTATTCCTTGCCGAAGTTGAACAATAAACTTGGTTTTGGAGCTTAAAATGATGTGACGTGTAATAAACCAGCTTTCCTGCGTCAGGCTGGTTCGTTTGGTAGCGTGCTGTCCCGATGGTGTCCTATCCCTGCAGTGGTGGGCCACAGCACCAGGCTATTTCCTTCGCTCGGTGGACAGGAGCAGTAGAACGGTGGAAGTAGGGCCAGTGGAGTCGGAATGTTGGATGGAGTAGGAATGTGGGTGGAGTCGGACTGTTGGGTGGAGTAGGAATGTGGGTGGAGTCGGACTGTTGGGTGGAGTAGGAATGTGGGTGGAGTCGGACAGTTGGGTGAAGTGGGAATGTGGGTGGAGTCGGATGTGGGTGGAGTCTGACAGTTGGGTGAAGCAGGAATGTGGGCGGAGTCGAACTGTTGGGTGGAGTAGGAATGTGGGTGGAATCGGACTGTTGGGTGAAGTGGAAATGTGTGTGAAGTCTGACTGTTGGGTGAAGCAGGAATGTGGGTGGGGTAGGAACGTGGGTGGAATAGGAAAGTGGGTGGAGTGGGAATGTGGGTGGAGTAGGAATGTTGGGTGGAGTAGGAATGTGGGTGGAGTAGGAATGTGGGTGGAGTAGGAATGTTGGGTGGAGTAGGAATGTTGGGTGCAGTTTGAATGTTGGGTGGAGTTTGAATGTTTGGTGGAGCAGGAATGTGGGTGGACTAGGCATGTGGGTGGAGTAGGAATGTTGGGTGGAGTAGGAATGTTGGGTGGGGTAGAAACGTGGAGTAGGAATGTTGGGTGGAGTAGGAATGTTGGATGGAGTAGGAATGTTGGGTGGAGTAGGAATGTTGGGTGGAGTAGGAATGTTGGGTGGAGTAGGAATGTTGGGTGGAGTAGGAATGTTGGGTGGGGTAGAAATGTTGGGTGGAGTAGGAATGTTGGGTGGAGTAGGAATGTTGGGTGGAGTAGGAATGTTGGGTGGAGTAGGAATGTTGGGTGGAGTAGGAATGTTGGGTGGAGTAGGAATGTTGGGTGGAGTAGGAATGTTGGGTGGAGTAGGAATGTTGGGTGGAGTAGGAATGTTGGGTGGAGTAGGAATGTTGGGTGGAGTAGGAATGTTGGGTGGAGTAGGAATGTTGGGTGGAGTAGGAATGTTGGGTGGAGTAGAAATGTTGGATGGAGTAGGAATGTTGGATGGAGTAGGAATGTTGGGTGGGGTAGAAATGTTGGATGGAGTAGGAATGTTGGGTGGAGTAGGAATGTTGGGTGGGGTAGAAATGTGGAGTAGGAATGTTGGGTGGAGTAGGAATGTTGGGTGGAGTAGGAATGTTGGGTGGAGTTTGAATGTTTGGTGGAGCAGGAATGTGGGCGGACTAGGCATGTGGGTGGAGTAGGAATGTTGGGTGGAGTAGGAATGTTGGGTGGGGTAGAAATGTGGAGTAGGAATGTTGGGTGGAGTAGGAATGTTGGGTGGAGTAGGAATGTTGGGTGGAGTAGGAATGTTGGGTGGAGTAGGAATGTTTGGTGGAGTAGGAATGTTGGATGGAGTAGGAATGTTTGGTGGAGTAGGAATGTTGGGTGGAGTAGGAATGTTGGATGGAGGAGGAATGTTGGGAGGAGTAGGAATGTTAGATGGAGTAGGAATGTTGGGTGGAGTAGGAATGTTGGGTGGAGAAGGAATGTTGGATGGAGTAGGAATGTTAGATGGAGTAGGAATGTTGGATGGAGGAGGAATGTTGGGTGGAGTAGGAATGTTAGATGGAGTAGGAATGTTGGGTGGAGTAGGAATGTTGGGAGGAGTAGGAATGTTAGATGGAGTAGGAATGTTGGGTGGAGTAGGAATGTTGGGTGGAGTAGGAATGTTAGATGGAGTAGGAATGTTGGGTGGAGTAGGAATGTTGGGTGGAGAAGGAATGTTAGATGGAGTAGGAATGTTGGATGGAGGAGGAATGTTGGGTGGAGTAGGAATGTTAGATGGAGTAGGAATGTTGGGTGGAGTAGGAATGTTAGATGGAGTAGGAATGTTAGATGGAGTAGGAATGTTGGATGGAGGAGGAATGTTGGGTGGAGTAGGAATGTTAGATGGAGTAGGAATGTTGGGTGGAGTAGGAATGTTGGGAGGAGTAGGAATGTTAGATGGAGTAGGAATGTTGGGTGGAGTAGGAATGTTGGGTGGAGTAGGAATGTTAGATGGAGTAGGAATGTTGGATGGAGGAGGAATGTTGGGAGGAGTAGGAATGTTAGATGGAGTAGGAATGTTGGGTGGAGTAGGAATGTTGGGTGGAGAAGGAATGTTGGATGGAGTAGGAATGTTGGGTGGAGTAGGAATGTTGGGTGGAGTATGAATGTTGGGTGGAGTAGGAATGTTGAGTGGAGTAGGAATGTTGGCCGGAGTAGGAGTGTTGGATGAAGTAGGAATGTGGAGTAGGAATGTGGGTGGAGAAGGAATGTTGGGTGGAGTAGGAATGATGGGTGGAGTAAGAATGTGGGTGGAGTAGGAATGTGGGTGGAGTAGAAATGTTGGGTGGAGTAGGAATGTTGGGCTGAGTAGGAATGTGGAGTAGGAATGTTGGATGGAGTAGGAATGTGGAGTAGGAATGTTGGGTGGAGTAGGAATGTGGGTGGACTAGGCATGTGGGTGGAGTAGGAACGTTGGGTGGGGTAGGAATGTGGGTGGAGTAGGAATGTTGGGTGGAGTAGGAATGTTGGGTGGAGTAGGAATGTTGGGTGGAGTAGGAATGTTGGGTGGAGTTTGAATGTTGGGTTGAGTTTAAATGTTTGGTGGAGTAGGAATGTTGGGTGGAGTAGGAATGTGGAGTAGGAACGTTGGGTGGAGTAGGAATGTTGGATGGAGTAGGAATGTTGGGTGGAGTAGGAATGTTGGATGGAGTAGGAATGTTGGTGGAGTAGGAATGTGGGTGGAGTAGAAATGTTGGGTGGAGTAGGAATGTTGGGCTGAGTAGGAATGTGGAGTAGGAATGTTGGGTGGAGTAGGAATGTGGAGTAGGAATGTTGGTGGAGTAGGAATGTGGGTGAAGTAGGAATGTTGGGTGGAGTAGGAATGTTGGGTGGAGTAAGAATGTGGGTGGAATAGGAATGTGGGTGGAGTAGAAATGTTTGGTGGAGTAGGAATGTTGGGTGGAGTAGGAATGTGGAGTAGGAATTTTGGGTGGAGTAGGAATGTGGAGTAGGAATGTTGGGTGGAGTAGGAATGTGGGTGGACTAGGCATGTGGGTGGAGTAGGAATGTTGGGTGGAGTAGGAATGTGGGTGGAGTAGGAATGTGGTTGGAGTAGAAATGTTGGGTGGAGTAGGAATGTTGGGTGGAGTAGGAATGTTGGGTGGAGTAGGAATGTTGGGTGGAGTAGGAATGTTGGGTGGAGTAGGAATGTTGGGTGGAGTAGGAATGTTGGGTGGGGTAGGAATGTGGGTGGAGTAGGAATGTTGGGTGGAGTAGGAATGTGGGTGGAGTAGGAATGTTAGGTGGAGTAGGAATGTTGGGTGGAGTTTGAATGTTGGGTGGAGTAGGAATGTTGGGTGGAGTAGGAATGTGGGTGGAGTAGGAATGTTGGTTGGAGTAGGAATGTTGGGTGGAGTAGGAATGTTGGGTGGAGTAGGAATGTGGGTGGAGTAGGAATGTTGGGTGGAGTAGGAATGTTGGGTGAGTTTGAATGTTTGGTGGAGTTGGAATGTGGGTGGACTAGGCATGTGGGTGGAGCAACTTCAGGGTGGAGCAATTTTTTCCCCCTCCGAACTTTGCCATTGAATCCTTTAATCAGTAGAGCCGACCCTAGAACATTCACTATAATAATAAGGTGATCGGTGACTGCCCACAAGAACTGTGGTCATCACTCTTTAATCATTCATTATCTGTCATTTCATTCCATCCTAATCAAGAGCCTTTATATCCTTATCATTGTCTTTGGAGAATCATGCAATCAACTGCCTAAATCTTAGCCCTAAAAGGCATTTTATACACTTTGAGCCCCCTCCTATATAGGCTGAGTACAACTTACGCCATACAACATCGCATAGGCCTAAACTCAATTGACCAATCAGATACAAGGATTCCCCAATATGCAAAGTGTGGGTGACTCGCATGGTCTTTGGTATTTAAAACATACAGTTGGTGGCTTTATAATTCTTTTAAACGGGTTATCCTAACTTCCCCCAGTATGTGGTCGACAGGCTTACCCTTTTTTAAAACTATAATTTGCAACTTAGATGCAACGAAACGCTATAAATTGAATCGCTTAACAAAATCTAATTACGGATAATGGTATTCAGATTTATTCTTTCTTTTGTTTGATCGTGAAGGCTAGTAATGCACAGCTTGCAGTAGCCTTTTGCCAAGGCCATCGTGACTTAACTTGCTGGCATTAAACAAAGCAGCGATTGGGGCGAAGCGACTGGAGTGGGAGACCACACACGCCAGTCAGCCTGCGGAACCGGAGGGGGGGGGGGGGGGCTGGGGGCAGTTGCCCACCCCCCAGATTTACCCAAGTGCCCCTTTTGCAGCCATAAATGTGCCCCCTCGAGCATACGAGTGCCCCCTCGAGATGAAAAGAAATTGCCCTAAAAGTATGTGACTAATTGTAAGTAATCATTTCACATGGTATAGATAGTTTTGATACAAACGATGAATATGATTACCACGCCCCAAACCCATACAATGCGCCCTGAAAATGGGCACATAATGCGTAGTTAGCATATAATGCTCGGATTTGAAGAGCGGCCCTATGTTGGAAGATGGTACCAGTCCCCCTATTTGCCGCTCTAAGCCACGATGGCCTTGGCAAAAGGCTAAGCTTGCAGATGAATTAAATACAACATTTCTTCGGCTGTCGTCATTATTAATCTTAATATCAAGAAACAGTGAACCTGTTCCATAACTGTCTGGTCTCTGTGATCGTGTATCGCGTAAAGCATTCATCTACGTAGATAGCCGAAAGTGATAGCCAAATAAATTGATGTTTATAAATGTAAACTATTTGTGAACAAATTCAAATTATCTTTATGACCTTAATTTTCTTCTCGAATGTTAAACTTGAGACTGCATTATGAGGTGTATAAATTTATTTTTTGAACTGCTCCTCTAGGCTATCAGTTTCGGTCACCGGTATCAAATGATCGAAAGAAGCAATCTTCATAGCGATATTTGGCAAGGTATGCACATCTAGAGTTGGAAAATATGTGATAGCTTTGCAGTCTGAGAGGTGGCATTAGTTGTGTGTGTTATCTTTTTTTTAAATGGCCGCTAATGTGCTTGCTACCGGATTAATTATGGTGACAAGCATGTTTTGGCCTCCATTTCTTTAAAATAGTGATAGCACCCAAAAAGCTGGCACCGCTGCAATGCTATCGCATAATTTCCAACTACAGGGGTGCATACCCTGCCAAAAATCACAATGAACATTTTTAATATTCCCCTCATTTCATACCGACCAAACCCCCAGGCTGATGGCCTATATACTACCCGAATGTGCCGAGTTGTACTACCAAAAAGAGTCCGTCTGCTCTATACGCATTATTGTTCCTTATAACGTTAATTCTACCCTGCATACCTCAAATACTCATTGGCGAACTCAAAGGAACGATTAGAAGATTACAAGACTATAGAGACTGTGAGCTCTGCTTAATAAATAGACAACGTGATTGAAAGAATAGACAAAACTAAGTGTAAATTTTACCAATCACCTCATTAATTAATCGTAATGAATCAAAATTTGAATAGATATAAAGTAGGAGAATAGGTTAAAGTTAGAATATGTGCTCAACCGATAGATATGGCATTTGTATGGGGAATATTTCTCATGGTTGGCAGTAGATGATTTGCTGGCCGCGTACTTTCTCATCACCCAAGTGGCTATCGACAGTGGCACCGACGAAGGGCTTCGGACATTCAGGTGGAACCATGAAACCACCAAAGCTGTTTTCGAAACAAATAGTGGTTCTCCAATCATGGCCGAAAGTGACGTCATAAGGGACCAGTAAATCGAGGCACCATCTGTACGGCTCTGATGGATCAACTATTATGTAAATAGATATACCAGGAATAAACCAAACAATCATCAAAGATGCAAATTAGGCCTGAGGGAATAGCGAAAAATGCAAAACATTTCTCTTGGCCACTTTATAGGTAGGCCCTATTATCTTTTCACATGCACGCACGCCTAGCCTTGTCGGGTTTTTATGACATTATAGCCAAGGAACAAAATGTCATATTATTAATTAGAATATGCATCATATTCATTTTGGGAGCGCAAAATGTCATATTATTAATTAGAATATGCATCATATTCATTTTTGGGAGCGCAAAATGTCATATTATTAATTAGAAATATGCATCATATTCATTTTTGGGAGCGGGGGGGGGGGTGTTCACGAAATCTTACCCTGAAGAAAATAAAAACCCCAGTTGGCTTCTCCACCGAGTGCAGTTAGGTGAATCCGGTAGTACGGGTCGTCCCTGTATTCAAACACATCTAAATGAATTGGATAAACATTTTGTTAGGCATGGTTAATTATGTTGCAAATATGCACACATTCCTAAATGCACGGTGCTGTCGTATATTATTACCCCGTAAGGCCAACGAATAGACTAAATCCCGCTGATGGCCGTTCGGAATGATTTTACTATTGGTTTTGTTGCGTACCACCCAAGCCCATGGCAAGACAAAATTCACTTCTATTGCGTTCTTTGTCCTCAAAACTATTGCGAAAATTTGCAATGCAATAGATCTGCATTATTGACGATTTATTTAATAAAAGATATTGCATTCATTCAAGATGGAAATATTTCACTTGTTAAATATGAAGATGTGGTTTTCCATAATCTTGTCTCTGCTTATTGTTGGTTGTCAATTAAAGGCTTAAAAGTAAAACGAGAAAGTTTTTTGTCTACATTAAATATGGCGCCTAGCCTAAACGAAACAATCATCGGTCAGACGGTTGTGTATCCTTCTTTAACCTAGTTTCCAACCTCGTCCCCAGGGTATTGAACAGTACGCGCCCACCACTACCTGCTCTCTCACTATTGGAAACGAGGTTGGAAATAAAGCAAGCACTGGGGACGAGGTTGCCTCATTTCTAATCCTTTCGATATGATTTGCAATTTAGATACGTCGTAGGGTTCCCACATGGCAAAATATATTATTCATTAATGGAACCTAAACTTGAATTAATTCACTGAATTAAAAGCAGACATAATTTATGTGTCATTAGAAAATACTTGTGTAACAAGACTAAGCATGCATAATAGACATTTTTGTGTAGCGACCATCTTGGAGGGCATCTTTTGGTATTTTGATTCAGTAACAATGAATGCACGAAAGGTTCACTCCTGCATATCCCAGCAAAACAAAGGCATTGCCCTCCAAGATGGCTGCTACGCATTAGGTCGATAGGCAGCATACATGATCATGTCCTTCCCGATCAAAACATACGTGCAACGGGCGACCTTTGGGGAGGGGATAAGTGACGTTGAATGTTATCTTAGGGGCGTTACGGTTGTTATGCTGTCTTCATTTCAATTGCCTAAATTCATCCTTTCATGACTTTGTTTTAGCCAGAAGAAGATTCGAAGACGTGTTGTGCGCAAACGTACACGTTTACCAAATGAGAAATTTAAATAAATATGAAAAGAATACCGATGCTATTCCTCAGAAGCTTTCAAAAGGAGGTACTGAAAGTAATGTTTGGTATATGATGTTCATGTAGCTACGTTTTCGAGAATAAAATATCATTGGGCAACCTGAGCCACAGTTACATTGGCGAAATCAATGAATAAACATAACAAAACTGTTACGACAACCCCCTGCGAAGAATGAATCACACTTGATGTGTAAATTTGGTCCAAAACCCACTTTTGTGAAAAGTGTCAGGATGTTTATAATTATTACCTCCTTCTGCTGATTAGTTGAACGTTTTTCGACCTCATGAATGTTAAGGATTCTCTCCATAACATCACGTGCGTGGCCTTTGTGTGTGTGTGTGTGTGGGGGGGGGGGGAACCTTTAAAAGATACATTTAACTTATTTTTGTTTGATCGTGAGACACGGATGAAAGTGTCGTCAGCAACATACTTGTTTATTAGTTTCAATGCTGTTTACGTGATCGCATAAAGCGATGCAGAGGTCACAGAGTCTTTAATTCGTAGTAGCATAGGCTTCTCATCATCATCATCATGCCATATTTTTGAAATTGCGGTGATCTAAAATGAACGTTTTATTTCTTTTAATTCTAAAGAAAGCATATGGCATCATTCGAAGTCAGTAGTAAAGATTAATATTTTTGGAAGGGTGGAAGTTAGATAAACCACCATCCGTCAAGTAGATTAGTTTATGTCTAATAAATATTTATTTTATTTATAAATTTACATTTCTTTACCCAGGGTATGTCCAAACTGGTTTCCGAAAACACCACGAAAAAAAACCTTATTATGATGACAACTAAGTTTGTTAACTCCGTAGATCAGCACAGACTTTAGTTTGTACAATGAGGACAACGAAAAAATACTCACATTTGCAGAAAAGCGTCATTGTCTATATCTTTAAAACATATGAAGTGAATTGAACGGCCTTCTTTTTAGAGTGCTTGCCAATCACGAAGACCGTTAACAAGATAGTGGTCACTAATCAGGACTGTTACAACTGATAATGTAGTAACCAACGGATAACGTATCACCAACCGATAATGTATCACAAATTGACCGATATTGTATCACTAACCGATAATGTAGCAAAAATTGACTGACAGTGTAGTAAAATTTGTATCCGATAATGTATCACGTGTCGACGGATAATGTAACTACAAAATAACTGTATCCGATAATGTATCACCACGGAACGGATACTGTATCAACCGATAATGTATCAAAAATCAACCGATAATGTATCAGTATATTTGGAAAAGGTTAGCCTTGGTCAATGCTCTCGTCGTTATTCGTCCCGTACGCGGTCAATCGTCGGCATATATCCTCACGCGCTATGCACATGCATGTAAAAATACAGCGCGAACAGCGAACTCACGCGGCCACTATTTTTATGCAAATCAGTTGGAGACGATGTCGAGCCTTGGTTCAATCGTCCATGTGACGTTATGGGGGTGGTGCTCATTATGTTAATAGCCTTAGCTGACCTTAAATGTCGTTTTCTTATTGGTCGATCGTTGCGTGAAAACTTGCATAGTGAAACGTGGCACCGTACATAATCCATACGGGTGCAGACCAGTAAATCGGTCCGAAATTGCCTGCGCCGGCCAAATCACGATTTGCATGCCCTCAAAATCTTCGGTATTTGAGCATGCTGTGGGCCATGAACTTGAGGGGTTGTAAAAAATATGGGTGGAAGCCGTGCACAGGACTGGGAGCTTGCAGTTCTGTGTAATTTTGATGTAATTTGGACCCTAAAAGCGCTCTATTTTGCAATGGAGTGTAGGCATCGTTTTTCAAAATGGCGATGGGCTTCAGGACTATTTTCAGGGGTGATCATCTTCAGATGGAAATTTATCCTAAAAGTCAGCAGTTGACCCCCGAAAATTGAAAAGAAAATGAAAGATGATGAAATAAGCTTTAATTTGATGTGTGTCTCGAACACCTTGGAGAGTTGTGAGTATTTTTCCCGAATTTTTGAAGTGGGAGCATTTACCATGTGGGTCTATGGAAGTTTATTTACTGGTCTGCTACCTATACACGTACACATTGTGTGTCTCTGCACACGGCACCAATGCACAAAAACTGTGGTTCCTGTCACGTCCGCAAAAGCCGGAATAGATGCAAATAATTTGATGACGTCCGGATTTACCAAGGTGTGATTGGACACTCCACATATTAGCCCCGCCTACATTATCTGTATTCGCATACGAGGTCGTGCGCTGGAAATCTAGCGCAAAGTAAAGAAAAACATAAGCTTTGGCCGACGATTGAACCAAGGCTCGACATCGTCTTCAACTGATTTGCATAAAAATAGTGGCCGCGTGAGGTCGCTGTTCGCGCTGTATTTTTACATGCATGTGCATAGCGCGTGAGGATAAATGCCGACGATTGACCGTACGGGACGAATAACGACGAGAGCATTGACCAAGGCTAGGAAAAGGTGGAAATATTGCAAATTAATTACAGTCTAATAAGTGTCTTTGCTATGATAAGTGCTCACTCGGGAAAGTTTATCATAACTGCATTCGCACATCCGCGCCGAAATGTGGACAAGTTCTTTTCTCCGGACACTTGGCCTCCGTATGGGCTCCGTGCTCCAACCCAAGAGGGCGCGTTTTACCACTTTTGAGAGCACCATGTATGGAAATCAATGGACGGGACACAGCATGTGCGAACTGTACTGTACTGGTTCGCGCGCAAAGTTCAACGCCACTTCCAGAATGTGGCAAGGCTATTAGCCGCAGCGTCTTCGCATGATTGTCAGGCAACGTCGGCGCGCGCATACGTTCAATTTAACTTCCGATGGTCTCACAGACTATTCCCTCCCCCAATAACTTTGCATCATTCAAAATACGCAGTGGATGGACCGGGACCAGTCTAGGTCCTCCCCCAACTCTCCGTTTCTGGCCGTTGAAGGGGCACTTGTGCACGGAGCCCATAGCTCCATGGTAAAATAAAAAAAACTGAGGGGGGGGGGGGGGCTGGAGACCACATGACACTGGGGGCGCTGTTCATGATACAGATGTATCAGCGCATTTCAAGCTTTTTGTGCTTTTTCTCCCTTTCTCAGTACTATTTAATGCATTTCGGCGGTTGGGAAGTTTGAAAAAAAAACACCCCCAAATCTGCCCTTTTTTCTCTAAATACAAAATAATGGGGGTGGGGTGACTATAGCCCAGACCCCTTTCCCCAGTCAAAAGGTGGGGCGGGATACATAGGACATAAAACAAACATTTGTGTACACCTTTTCCCCGTACTGATACATTATCGGTTGATTTTTGATACATTATCGGTTGATTTTGGTACTTTATCGGTTGATACAGTATCCGTTCCGTGGTGATACATTATCGGATACAGTTATTTTGTAGTTACATTATCCGTCGACACGTGATACATTATCGGATACAAATTCTACTACACTATCAGTCAATTTTTGCTACATTATCGGTTAGTGATACAGTATCAGTCAATTTGTGATACATTATCGGTTGGTGATACATTATCCGTTGGTTACTACATTATCAGTTGTAACAAGGACAGACATAAGACACAACTTTCACTTACAAGTTCGGGAGCGAGAGCTAATAAGTAGATCATTGATTGTTTCAGTAGCGCCGGTATGATAATGTATAAGTTGCATCATTTGGAACACATTAAAACATGAAGTTATAGGGTTTGAGGAAGTACCATTATCTTCCTCGGAAATATCATAATTAAAGTTGTCGGCTACAATAATTTCTTTACATTCTTACCATTCTTACCATGCCAAGTGCATAGTATGACATTGCAGGTATCCTTAACTCCAATTAATTCACTTACTTAAAGGTCATTCTTTAAGAGAAATCTTTTTCCTAAAAGATTAACCTCTCCTAATTCCGTCGGTAGTCAATTTCGATACTTGTTGGAATTATGTTGGCCTATTTCTTGACGGGTTTGTTTGAAGGGTTCATCAGTCAAGCACTGCTGTGCACATGCGTGCATCTATCAAAATGGAAAATGTACATAACATTGGATGGCTTTGAGTGGGATACTGCACAAATATTGACTGCCTCGAGTGGTGTAGTAAAACTAGCCTCCCGAGGTGATCTATGAAGCATTCTGTTTTCCCTCGGCTTCGTTGAGTATTTAGGAGAAGAACCAACCAAGAACCAAGAACCAAAAATACTCCATGGATAACTGGTACAATCATATGGAATAATTTGTATGCACAGTTGAGAACCATGACTTCTCTATAACCTCTTTTAAATCTGAACTACGTAAAATGTTCAATGAGTATATTTCTGCAAATAATTATGTGAGTATTTCTTCGCTGTCTTCTCTGATTATACAAATCTTAATATGTGCTTATCTACGGAGTTAACAAACTTGGTTGCCATAATAATAAGAAGCCGGATGGGAACTTCCCCGTGTTTTCTCCCAAAAGGGTTTTCGCGGTTTTTTTGCCCCTCCCGTTATCAGCGAATTTTCTTGATGTTAAAAGATTGATCAAAATTCTTTGTGTTCACTGAATTCACCGTGAAGCCGTTAGCGATGTTGTTTCACACTTTACATGTATTTTATAATCGTTTCACAATATATAGTATTTATAATATTTGCTATATGAATAATAATATTTTATTAAAAAAAACAATTTGTAAGAATATCAAATGTTTTAGGGAGATAAATATTTAGAGAATATCAAATATTTTAAAAGAAATGTATTGTCGGAATTATCGGTTTTTGTGGGTGGTATTTTTATTACGCAAAATGGGGTTGGGATGGGGTGGGGCTGGTGGGAAACCGACCAGCTGGCCGCGATTTTCTTCCCGAACGACATCTTTTCCCAAACGACATCTGAATGGAGTCTGTGTTTGTTTTTTTTTTTTGGGGGGGGGGAGGGGGACTGAATCCTGGACCTCCAATTTTTAGGGGGGTTCTCTTTGTTCTGATTTATTACTATAGTCCGGGAGCCCAGCGAGGGTAAATCATAATTTCGAGGGCAAAAGGTTTGAAGCGTGGGATATGTAGAAGTGACCGAGACAACTGCAAAATGGGATTTCTTAAGTTGCGCCATGCAGTGGTGCGTTGGGAGGGGGGGGGGAGCCCCTTATAGTCCCCCAACAATTCGATTTAATCATAATCTTGAGTGCAAACCAAATTTCTTCACGGATCGAAAGTTTATCGTGTACTGAATTGTATAGTTTGCATACGTAAGAAAAATTTATTTGGTGCTAAGTCCAATTAAGAAGCCAGATAATTAGCGCTAATTACACGTTTAATCATAATTACGAGTGCACCGATAAAATAAGTGTCAATGTGTTCCTTACACCTCGATGGAGCAAAATCCGCCACTTAAGAAAGTTTCAAGTGGTGCCATCCCTACTTAAGAAAGGGTAACGGTCACCAGGGGTCAATAAACACCAATAAGAACAGTATAAGTGCAACTTGCATTCGTGTGCGGATCAACCATTTATGATGGACCAGTCACTGATTACACGATTAAGACCAAGATAATTATGTAGTGCAACGTCCGATCAAAAAGAACTTTAAGTAATTTACATGTCTCTAACAGTCCTGAATCCTCCAATTTCAATACGATTTGCATACTCCCTAGGGAGTTAGGGTTAATGAATAATTAGAACGATAATTAGGAGTTAAATGATAAAACGACCGTCAGTCTGTACTTTACCCCACGCAGGAACAAAACACACCACCTACGAAATGTTTCAATATCACAAAAAATCATGAAATTGAGTTCAACTTATTACCTCTATATATACCTCCTTAATCATGAATGGATATAATCGTAGGCCTACGTAATATGGGGAATATGATATCACCGGAGTTTATAATCTTAACTTTGTAGTAGTTTTCAGTAAAAAAAAAAGGTTTGCATTAAAGTTGACAATAATCAATATTGAGAACTTAATTGTGATGATATCATTAAAACTGGCTGATGGGCTGCTTTGAAGTACGAAGTTTGGTTGATAAGTCCCAGCGATGATGATGACGACAACCGAGAAATGTGTACCGACTTTACATGTTCGAGAAAGCCTTCGCACCGAAAGCGAGGGCGGCACACCATTACTCAAGCACCAAGATATCGATGGTAGCAGCCTTCCACCTTGTCAAGCTGAGCTGAGGCCACATGCAAAACAAGCTGCTTGTGTGGCGAGGATGTGGAAAAAACAATGGAGCAAAAGATTGTTCAAGATTCAGTCACCAGCGATGGATGGGCAATATCCCCCACTTTTAGACCGGGGAGGGGGTGGGTAGTCTAATGAATCATCCCCCCCCCCACTTTTTGCGATCAAAAAAAAAAATGAGGATTGAGGTGTTTTTCAAACATCCCAACAACCCAAATGTGTTTTATTGCACTGGAAAGTTGAGAAGCAAAGTACAAAAGCTTTTAGAAGGCGCAGTTTTGGTGTGAGTGCGAGTAGGCCTATGTTGATATGCAAGATATCCTGAAAAGCGCCCCTAGTGTAATATGGTGTCCAGCCCCCCCCCCCCCCCCCCCACCGCTTTCGAATTTCCACGGCCGGGCAATTTTTGGATTTTGGTCATCCCCCATCCCCCCACTCGTCGGCACAGTTTTACGCCACAGATCCCCAGCGATGATGATGACAACAACCATGGCGTCTAGAGCAGTGATGATTTTAACGTGTCACCTGATGACGAGGCGGAAGAGCTGTCTTCGGAGGAAGATTATAAAACCCCTCCTCTCACCTCCTCGTCGCCTTCTCATCTATTCACAAATTCCTGATCCCGTGAATGGGTATTTTTCGTCAGGAAATCCCGTCAGTCTCTATGCCATTACGACGTTTGGTCAAATATGAGTGCATTCTTTGCAAGAAAATCGAATTCACTGCAGTTTAGGCCCCCCCAAAAAAGTCTTCGGTTTCTGGTATGCGCGCGCGTCGTCCTAGCCATGCGCGTCGGCAAAATGAAAAAGTTTTTTTTTTCAATGAAAGATGATGTCTCAAAACCGCCAAACTCACTGGTTTGACTGGAATCCTGCTGCTGCACAATTTTAACGTGTTTTTAGATTGGGTTATGGTCGAGAATAAGCTTTATGTGGCCTCTCTGGACTCCCATATATTTGCACTAAGTTTAGTCGGGCACCATGTTTAGTCGGGCACCATTTGCAGTCATCAGCCGACATTTGAAGCAAAAAAATCAGGTAAAAAAAAAAAAAAAGCCTCGTCGCCGCACCACTTTTTGGGCAAGCTCCATACCAGAAACCGGAGACATTTTTTTGGGGCCTTATTTTCCCTTTTTTTTATTTTACACTATTCGTAGGAATGGGTAGTGCCATGTCACACGAGGCAGTTTACTGGTAACCGATTAGTTTCTAAGGAGAAAACAACGAATTTCCGTTCAACATCACGTATCAATCGTGATTTTTGGAACAACCTGTATTAATTTCTGACGAAAATGTTTAAACGTTCTTAAAAGAGAGGTCGTTTTCTGCATATGCCCTTTTGCTGGGAACATTTTGGGTGATATACGCGCAATGCATAAGGGTATTATGCGCATATGCCATTCTGCCGGGTACACATCACTCATGAAGTTAAGATGCTATTATAATAAACTCCGGTGATCTCACATTTCCCATATTATTTACGTATTACATCCATTCGTGATTGAGGAGGTATAGAGGTAATTCATCATGATTGTTTGTGATATTGAAACGTTTCGTAGGTGGTGTGTTTCGTTCCTGCGTGGGGTAAAGTACACACTGACGGTCGTTTTATCATTTTACTCCTCATTAGCATTCTAATTATTTATAACATTTCGTAGGTGGTGAGTTTCGTTCCTGCGTGGGGTAAAGTACACACTGACGGTCGTTTTATCATTTTACTCCTCATTAGCATTCTAATTATTTATTAAACATGTAAATTACTTAAACTTCTTTTTGATCGGACGTTGCACTACATAATTATCTTGGTCTTAATCGTGTAATCAGTGATTGGTCCATCATAAATGGTTGATCCGCACACGAATGCAAGTTGCACTTATACTGTTCTTATTGGTGCTTATTGACCCCTGGTGACCTTTGACCCTTTCTTAAGTAGGGATGGCACCACTTGAAACTTTCTTAAGTAGCGGATTTTGCTCCATCAAGGTGTAAAGAAAACATTGACACTTATTTTATCGGTGCACTCGTAATTATGATTAAACGTGTAATAAGCGCTAATTATCTGGCTTCTTAATTGGACTTAGCACCAATCAAATTTTTCTTAAGTATGCAAATACAATTCAGTACACGATAAACTTTCGATCCGTGAAGAAATTTGGTTTGCACTCAAGATTATGATTAAATCGAATTGTTGGGGGACTATAAGGGGCTCCCCCCTCCCAACGCACCACTGGCGCAACTTAAGAAATCCCATTTTGCAGTTGTCTCGGTCACTTCTACATATCCCACGCTTCAAACCTTTTGCACTCGAAATTATGATTAACCCTCGCTGGGCTCCCGGACTACTACTTCACGTAGAGGGATGGGGAGGTTGACTGCAGCATCGATTTAAAGGTCGTCTTCTTTCCTCTAAGTTAATTACTAGTGAACAAAAATGACCCTCGGGGGGGGGGGGGGGCGTTGCCCCGGATCTGTCTACCTACAACTTACACTGATAATTAACTCCAAAGTAGCGGGCAAGGAAGCAAGCCTGGCACGGTGCGCCTGACGTTGCACAGGTCATATTGACTAGGTAGAATCCCTGAAAAATGTGGTGATTTCAGACGATTGTCATTGAAAAATCAAGAACAGCCTGTTATTCACAAACAAACATCTGCGATACAGACAAAAAATCTGCGAAAGAAATTTACGTAAACTAAACACATAACTTTTTAAAATAAAGGTTTTGCAGTTTGACAAATGGTGTTGCTATTTCCCTTATTAAGACATTAGTCACCCTCGGCGTCGCCAGGATTTTTCAAGGCGGGCGAAGCCATTCCCCCCCCCCCAAATTCCTATATTTTCCATCATTTTCCCGATTGATAATTTTTTTCGAGGGTGGGTTCGGACTTTGCCCCCCCCCCCAACCATTTAAATTAACAACAATATGATTTCGCACCGCTTTTTCCCCCTTTTTTTCTTCTTCTTCTTCTTTTTTGTTTGTTTGCTTGTCCAGGGGGAGGGGGAGGGGGCAAGCGCCCCCTTGTCTCCCCCCCCCCCCCTCGCGACGCCCATGTTAGTCAAGAGGCTTCCCCAAGGATTTTATGACGGTGGCTCGGCTGGCTCACTCACCTTCCATAATTATAGTCAAATGTATTCTAATTTTGTTTTTTTACATTTTATGTGAAACAAATACATATCCTTGCATTCCTGATATTCAAGTCATTATTCCAAATTTGTCTAGCATATTCCACGTGTCAACTTCTAAACCTCAGCTTACCCTATACCCAAAAATATTTGGAAAAAAACGAAAGAGGAAACGGCTTTTATCACAAATGTTCTAATAATCCACAAAGGAAAACTGACTGATCCCCGTTTGTTATGTCCTGGGTTTGCAGCATTGCTAGTGTTGATAGCATCGTGACTTCGCTACATGGCATAGACATGTTTTGGCCCTTGACTATAGCCCCCCTTGAACAAGGACATTGACAATTTTGGGAACTACCAAAACAAAAGCTTAATCACGATTTGAATGAGTATTTTGTTTCATATAATAATTCTTTACAAATGTCGAATTATCAGCGGCTTGACAATAATTCAGTGATCGCGCGGTGGACTGTTTCGCGCCTCCTATTTATAGTCTAGGAACTAGACTATACATGTATTATATATACGCGACAGATCTTTGTGCGCACAAGCAACCGAAAATATATTTTCCCCATAAGGTTGCAGACGCCCAAAAAGAGGCATGGACAGAACATCTTTGATCGGGTTTTATTCCTGTAGTGAATTTTCTAGTTCTCTATAAAAAAAAAAGCGTATAATCATGATAATAAGTTGTTGCATAGTCGTCGTCATTTTGACAATAAAAGCAAAATCATTATGCTGTACCGTAAAAACAAAATCCAAAGGAAACCAATATCAAAATAGCAGCTGCAAATGTAGTGCAAAAGTCCACTTTGGAAAATAGGTTTTAAATGGTACTTTTACTCACATTCAATATAAGATAATGCCATATCTTTTATTGTTAACGCATCAAACAAGATTCCACAAACAGAAACTGAACACAAATTGGAAATTACAAAGCATGCTCAAATAAGTTGTTAAGTGATCAAATTGATTGGTGTTCGAACAAATTAAGGAGAGTACTAGAACTTACCAATTGGCCATTTTCGATACCAGAGTCCAGAATCTCAAAGTTGCCCGACACCCCGCCAATTAGTGCTAAACATACAATCGCCGCTCCAAACATGATGTTTCGTACGAGAAACAACACCCTGCGTTTTAGATGAGCAGCAGTTTCGACGAAATTTTAGAGAATGATGATAATAAGCTTTGACCATTCTTTTAAAATATCAATTTGGGTAAATTAAGGTATTTAAATTTATACTGATGCTGAAAAGGATTTACATAATATGTAGGCCTAACTGGTTCAATCCGGCAGCAGTGGCCTTCAGCTGCCCCAGGCGTCGAGCAGGGCGTCGAGCAGGGCGTCGAGCAGTACGCGCCCACCACTACCTGCTCTCTCTCTCACCCTGGTATTGGATCATTTGCATGTGCAAGACTTTTGAACAGGTATGCAAATAAGAAATAGTATGGTGCCTGCCTGTGCATTACATTAGCGTTTGTTTTTGTATGCGGTGTCTGGGGTTAAAAAAAGAATCAATTTGTCGTGCCGTGAGTTACGAAAACACGACTTTTTCTTATCCCGCCAATATCACATTTTTAACGGAAATGAGTACTTTTTTAGAAGGCGTACACGTTATAATTACAACTAGAGGTTCGCGTTTGTTACAAACGCAAAGTGGTCGGGCTGGCATATTTTCTTGTGTTTACAGTGACTTAATCATAAAACATATGGTGCTGCATGGATGGTTACTCAAGCATACAACCAGTTGGGACTATTGGTAGAGTTAACGAAGCCTCTAACGTCGTTGGAGTTTATGCAGCAGAATTATGCTAATTTTAAGATAAAATGGCTTTTATATTGTTTTTTTTGTTGTTGGTCTTTTGCAAGGGTATAATAAAATTCTGCATTGAATTTATGACAACGGTAGACTTGACGGAGCCTCTAACGTCCTTGGAGTTTATGGAACATATGCTGATTTTTTCATAAAATGGCTTTTATGTTATTTTTTTCTTTTGCATGGGCATAATAAAATTCTGCACTGAGTTTACGACAGAAAAGTTTGTGGCTACACGCTGTAGAATTATTAATTTTCAGCATTCAGATATGAGAGGAAAACTGGCGAGGCGCAATTTATAACACCTAACTTCCGGTTTCATGACGTCACTAGTATTTGGAAGCAAAAGATTAACATTAATTGTTATGTTATCGTTATTTGGGCTACGAAGATATACGACATGGATCACAAGATAGAATTCAATTTAAAATATGATCATTTTCAAATTCTCATCGACGTAACTTCCGGTCTGATGACGTCATGAACTTGAAACCTTGCTAAGTTATCTGTGGTTAATCAAAGAAAATCAAGGGACGATTTGGTAAAATTTGAACCAATGTTCTTCAGATTAAAGAAAACAAACACAATTTTATGTGCCGCTAGGGGTTGCCCTTCGGATTATGACGTCATCACACTGTTTTTTTTTGTGATTTCCATTTCTCACTAAACACTTTCATAATATACATTTCTGTAGTTAAATGCTTCCGCTTTTGCGTTATATTCAGTTTTCATTGCACTTCCGGTAACACCGGAAGTAAAGGTCAAGCGGTTTTGTGTCCGGGAACAAGAAATGTTTCTCACGGCATAGTCTACAACCTCACGAAAAAACGAACACGATACTCTATTTAGTTCAAAAGATTTAGCACAAACTGTTTTGTCATAATTTGCCCTTAAATCGCTTGTAATTTGATACCTGATGACGTCATGATGACGTAACAAAATGTATAACATTTTCGTAACATGGTACAAGTTCACACAAGTTTCTGTGATTGTACCGTAAACCGTTCGGAAGAAATTTTGCTTTGTTTTGATTTCAGGCTAACGTCTTCATTTTGAATTCACCTACCTTCCGGTAGACCCGGAAGTAAAGGTCAAGCGAGTTTACGTACACGACAAAAAATGTTTATCAATTATTGGTCTATCTGAGTGCAGAATACAAACACCATTGATTATTTAGTTCAAGAGTCATAGGTTAAAGTAATTGGTCACTTTTCCACCTAAAATCACTTGTAATTTGACACCCGATGACGTAATCATGACGTCAGAGTAATATGCACCACTTAGGATGAGGGTCGATCTATATTGAAAGTTCCAAGTTCCTATCATAAACCGTTTAGGAGAAAAACCGCGGAAACGTTCTGTACGGAAAAAAAGAAAGAAAGAAAGATTAATCGTAACAGATCCAAAGAGTGGTCGGGTTGTGCCCGACCACTCAAAGAAAGAAAGAAGATTAATCGTAGCAACTCTAATCAGTGGTCGGGTTGTGCCCGACCACTCAATGATCGTGAAAACACGAAATGCACGTTGGAAATATAAACACCAATTGCGGCATCAGGACTACAGGAAGAAAGTTTCCTATCCAGGGCTTACTATTGGAAACGAGGTTGGAAATCAAGTAAGCACTGGGGATGAGGTTGAGTGACTGGTTTGCTAATAAATTCAGTTTCATTTACGCATGCGCTTAAATGATGTTTGCCTTAATTAAGAAGCACAAGCAGTCAAATGACAACGAATGGAAAAACGTATGAGGCGCCCTTTATGACTTTATTACGAAACCAATATATATAGAACGAAACCAATATATATAGAACGAGAAACCAATATATATGGAACGAAACCAATATATATAGAACGAGAAACAAATATATATAGAACGTAAATCCAATATATATAGAACGAAACTCAAATATATATAGAACGTAAATCCAATATATATAGAACGTAAATCCAATATATATAGAACTTAACTCCAATATATAGAACGTAACTCCAATATATATAGCACGTAACTCCAATATATATAGAACGTAACTCAAATAATATATAGAACGAGAAAAATATATCGAACGAGAATTGTAATAATTATATAAAACGAAGCAAGTTGCAAATGGACTCAATTCAGGGTGACTGTAAGGTCAATGCCAAGTTATGCTAGATGTACTTCCAAAATTTGATTGATTAAACAAAAATCTGCCAAATCACCTATGATTTACACGAAATACATTATAAACACCTATACTCATATGCAGATGTTATTAAATGTCCTTAACCCCCCCCCCAAAAAAAAAATCATAAAATTTCCTTTATAAAAAAAAATTATTATTCTTTTTTTCAATGGCTCGTGTCTAGCCTGGTTTCCAACGTCTATAGTACTTTACTGTGTTCTCGTACCTCCACGCTTAGACTGGCAAAAAAATAAAGGTTTGTTTTGCAAACAAATCAGCTCTGCTATGTTTTTCCGTCCAAATCAACAATTTTGCAGAATTCTGCTAGATATCTGCTTTAAAAAATTCATTTGCTAGATTTTCTGTGAAACTTTTTTCTTCAAAAACTGCTATATTTTCCCGTCAATTTTGCAGAACTCTACTAGAATCAATTCAATCTGCCAGATTTTTTGTCAAACTTTTCCCCCAAAAAAATCTGTCAAATTTAGCCGAAATTCGGCTTTAACGGTCACCCTATTGAAACGTTAAATATATAAGACGAAGCGCCCTCTAAATATATAGAATCAAACGTACGTTAAAATATATAGATCGAAAAAGTAAAATATATAGATCGAAAAAAGTAAAATATATGGATCGAAGCGCCCTCTATCGTCCACCAACGGAGAGTGAACATCTGAATTCCCGTGGTCTACATGTGTTGTACCCATAGAAGTCCAAAAGCCCGACTAGACTTCTATGGGTACAACCACTGATCTCTATATAAAGACTGGATAGCTAATAAAGAGCCGCACAATGATGAATTTTACGCCATATTGGTGAGACCGGCTGGTGATCTACAAAGGACATGTTGCCATCTTTATAGACAGCATGATTTCTTTTGTAAGTTTGTAACGTCGCGGTTCACTTGACTTATATTTTGGCCACCACCACTGACCAACTGACCAATTTTTCTAACGTCGTGGTTACTTTTATAATGCCGCAAAATCACTTTTTCGGCGTTTTTGAAATATTAATCACTACGGAAATGTGTTCCTTTTCGAACATCATAAGATGTGTACGTGACCAAAATGCGCGTCAACTGCAGTTGATACAACGCGCGCGTATTTACGCGTAGAACGTTCGTATTATACGCGGCCATCTTCGTGAGACCGGGGGCGAATTGGTCAATATGCAAAGTCTACTGTGTGAATGTTGTATGCATATCCGCTATCCAGTCTTTATATAGAGATCAGTGGGTACAACCATTGATCTCCATATACACAACTATATAAAGACTGGATAGCGGATATGCATACAACATTATTATTTCAAAAACGCCGAAAAGTGATTTGTTGCATTATAAAAGTAACCACGACGTTAGAAAAATTGTAGTAAACCTTGGTCAGTTGGTAAGTGGTGGTGGCCAAAATATAAGTCAAGTGAACCACAACGTTACAAAAAAAATCATGCTGTCTATAAAGACGGCAACTTGTCCCTTGTAGATCACCAGCCGGTCTCACCAATATGGCGTCAAATTCATGCATTGTGCGGCTCTTTATTAGCTATCCAGTCTTTATATAGAGATCAGTTGGTACAACACATGTAGACCACATGAATTCAGATGTTCACTCTCCGTAGGTGGACGGTAGAGGGCGCTTCGATCCATATATTTCACTTTTTCGATCTATATATTTTCAATTCATATATTTTAACGTACGTTTGATTCTATATATTTAGAGGGCACTTCGTCTTATATATTTAACGTTTCAATAGGGTGACCGTTTCAGCCGAATTTCGGCTCAATTTGACATATTTTTTGGGGGAAAAAAGTTTGACAAAAAATCTAGCAGATTGAATTGATTCTAGTAGATTTCTAGCAGAGTTCTGCAAAATTGACGGGAAAATATAGCAGTTTTTGAAGAAAAAAGTTTCACAGAAAATCTAGCAAATGAATTTTTTTAAGCAGATATCTAGCAGAATTCTGCAAAATTGTTGATTTGGACGGAAAAACATAGCAGAGCTGATTTGTTTGCAAAAAAACCTTTATTTTTTTGCCAGTCTAAGCGTGGAGGTACGAGAACACAGTAAAGTACTATAGACGTTGGAAACCAGGCTAGACACGAGCCATTGAAAAAAAGAATAATAATTTTTTTTTATAAAGGAAATTTTATGATTTTTTTTTGGGGGGGGGGTTAAGGACATTTAATAACATCTGCATATGAGTATAGGTGTTTATAATGTATTTCGTGTAAATCATAGGTGATTTGGCAGATTTTTGTTTAATCAATCAAATTTTGGAAGTACATCTAGCAGAATTTGGCATTGACCTTACAGTCACCCTGAATTGAGTCCATTTGCAACTTGCTTCGTTTTATATAATTATTACAATTCTCGTTCGATATATTTTTCTCGTTCTATATATTATTTGAGTTTCGTTCTATATATATTTGAGTTTCTTTCTATATATATTTGAGTTACGTTCTATATATATTGGAGGTACGTGCTATATATATTGGATTTACGTTCTATATATATTGGATTTACGTTCTATATATATTTGAGTTTCGTTCTATATATATTTGAGTTACGTTCTATATATTATATTGGTTTCGTTCTATATATATTGGTTTCGTAATAAAGTCATAAAGGGCGCCTCATAGCCACGTCAACATTTTCCCCGTAAATGTAAGGAATATGCGGATTTTCTGGGACCCAGACCATAACACATTGTTTTGGCGATATCCAGATGAATTCCTATTTGATTATATAAGTATTTAGACGGTTGAACAAACTGGAGGTTTTTTTTTATCCTAAATCCCCCAGAAAAAAAAAGACATGTGTTTGACCCATAGAGCTGTATAATAATACAGCTCTATGGTTTGACCTCAGAATATCAGAATCTAAGAAAGTTGACTGGACATCGCCGCTATACAGCTCATCATCATTGTATCTTCAATTCTCTCCGGTGATTAGTCAGGTGGCATATGGTCGGAATCGTGACTGACTGGTCCAAAGCACCAAACTTGGCAGATAGATTCCTATAGACCTAGAGAAGATATTTAGAAGGGGTGACACCTGAAATTCTTTTGGGAAGGGTGCCTAATTTGCATAAATCTTTAATCCCTGCCGTGTAATATATTTTTTTCCCATATTTGGGTATATTTTTACTTTTTTTATTTTTTTGAAAAGTGTATTTTGGTGATTCTACTTGCATATTCTTACTTCAATAACATTTTCTAAAGCATGTAAGTGACTGAATAATTACGAGGACATAGTAAATTACCAAAATGGCTACAATTTTACCCTAAAGTTACGCGCATTTACCTGTTCCTCAGATATCATCAACTAGTCTCGCCAAACGTGGGTATTGATGAGCTTCAAATTCACAAAGGTACTTACTGCCATAGTTAACCTAACAAAAATAAGTGGGAAATCATGTGAAAATTGATATCATCTTGATGTTTGGCCCAAATGACCAAAAAAGGGGAGAAAATGTGGTGTCCGTAAATTGGGCTACTACGGGAAGGGTAACGCTGGGGCTTGAACAAGTTCAACAAAATCCCCCCAAATAAGAGATTATTGTTGTTTACAATAATTTTGTCTACGCCAAAACGTTTTCTCAACAATAATTTTGGGAATTTCCTTGAACTTGTTCCAGTCTTCCATGTTAGGCAACCCTTCACCTTACTTGTTAGCCCAATTTATGGACACCTCGTTTTTTCCCCAGTTTTTGTTTTCTGGGCTAAATATCACAATGTTCTCATTGTTCGCATGATTTTGCATAAGGTTTCAATAGGGTAACTGTACCAGTAAGCTACGTGGTGAATTTGAAGTTCATCAATGCTGATGTTTGGCAAGACTAATCGATGATATCTGGGGACAAGGTAAATGTGCGCAATTTAGGGCATAATAGTAGCCATTTTGGATCGTTACTATGTCCTCATAATTATTAAGTCACTTATATGCTTTGAAATATGTTATTTAAGTAAGTAGAATCCCCAAAATACACTTTTCAAAAAAATAAAAAATTAAAATATACCCAAATATGGGAATAAATATATTACACGGCAGGGATTAACGATTTATGCAAATTAGGCACCCTTCCCAAAAGAATTTCGGGTGTCACCCCTTCTAAATATCTTCTCTAGGTCTATAAGAATATATCTGCCAAGTTTGGTGCTTTGGACCAGTCGGTCACGATCTTGACGAAAATTAGATCTAAGCCACCTGACTAGATGGCACAGTTCTGCCAGATGCACTTCACAAATCTGCTAGATTTAACAAAAATCTGCTAAATCACCTATTATTACACGAAATATATTATAAACACTTACACATCAAGTGCAGTTGTTATAAAATTTCCTTAAACAAAATAGAAATCTTAAAATTTTCCTTTGAAAATTCAACTGCAATATGGTCTTTACTGTGTATCCGACCCCCTAAAATGACAAGGCTATGTTTTGACGCACTCGCATTCAACTTGCGTTGGACAACGCGCGCGCGTTGCAAGCGTTACATGCGTCAATTATGGTGTCTCGAGGATACTGATACACGTCAGGGAACCTCAAATTGAAGCTTTGTTCAAAAACTAATCAGCTATATTTTTTTTAAAATCTGCCATGATTTTCTGTCCGATCACCAATTTTAAAGAATTCTGCTAGAAATCTGGCTAAAAAAAATAATTCTGCTACATTTTCTGTCAACTCGGTTTTTTTTCTCGAAAAATTTTGTCAAATTTAACCGAAATTCAGCTAAAACGGTCACCCAGATGTTTGTACGTACCACGCATAGGAACATTGTACAGTTTTTTTGTACATGTAATGTACATGTACATATGTACATGTACAGTACATGTACATGTACATGTACATGTAGAGATACAGACACCAGTCAATGGAGGATACCAGCGATAACCAGGAAATACGTCTCCTTCATAAGAGTGATTGTGATTAGTCAATATGTATTTAACAAACTACCGCTGTTAGTCTTATTTCGATAAAACAATATTAAAATAAGCAACTTCATGTAATAATTGACTTATTGATCATTTTTATGATAATACCATGATTTTCAATACATTTTAATTGGTGAAATTGCATACGTAATTTCAAAATAAAAATTATTCTGACCAATCGAAATACAGCTTACAGCTTACCTTATCCCGCCGACCGTGACGTCATTGTCTCGCCGGCATTTTGGAAGTAGTTCCATTTTTGCAACCCTTTCAACTGGTTCTTTGTGTTTTTTGCCTGTAGAAATGTCTATCGAATCAAACTTCGATGGGTCGGTGGGCCACAGAATCAAGAGTTTTAAAAACAAAGGGCGAGACACCGAGGTACGTATTTAAAAAGTCTAATTTTATTATGAAAATATACTTCGATACGGTTGACATTCGAGCGCGATGTGACTCACGCAAAATGGTGCATGTCACTCAGACCAATCATTGTCCATGTTGTCATTAGGCCGTACGCGGTGACTGTGTGTGTGACGCAGTGCAACCGCTGAACTAGCCCCATAAATGTGGCCTATTTACTGGACTGCCTCCGTAAACATAGGCCACACATCCACATGTACAAAAATCGTGTCGACGGAGCCAAATTTTGATTTTCACATTTAGGCTTAGTTTGTAGGTTTTTTTTGCTTTAGAAGCATACTCACCCTCTTTACAGGCTAATCAGAAAGTGCTGCCTTTTTCAGATGTCTAATTTTTGTGAAATTTCATGTTGAAATTTTGATACGCAAACGTGTAAAAATGAATCTGGAAATTTCACGAAAAATATACATCTGAAAAAGGCAGCACTTTCTGATTAGCCTATAAAGAGGGTGAGTATGCTTCTAAAGCAAAAAAAACCCTACAATTTTACAAACTAAGCCTAAATGTGAAAATCAAAATTTGGCTCCGTCGACACGATTTTTGTACATGTGGATGTGTGGCCTATGTTTACGGAGGCAGTCCAGTAAATAGGCCACATTTATGGGGCTACCGCTGAACATGCTGAACAGCGGTCACTTTGGAGCAACTATAGAATGCAGGGCCACGCCAGAGCAAGGTTTTTTATTTTGCTTGGAGGCGTGGATGGAGTAGATATGCAAACCTGCAAAAAGTGCTAAGTACAGCAAATGCACTTGTCTTCTAAGCTTCTCATGAAGGATCGGAAGGGAGGGCGTGCTTGTAAATGTGTTGGGGGCACGGTACCGATCGGAGTCGCGGAGGCGCGGAGTCGTGGAGTCGCAGAGTCGCGGAGACGCGGGGCACTGGAGTGGCGGAGGCGCAGAGTCGTGGAGTCGCAGAGACTCGCGCCGATAGAGGGCGCAATTCTCGGCGGAATTTTTTTGAGAACGAAGCATCCGTATTCATTTTAAATGGGCGCGCAAATTAGGAAGGGAGGAGGGCGACGGGGCACTGTCTGGAGTGGCGGAGTCGTGGAGTCCATTTTAAATGAGGTCGCAAATTAGGAAGGGAGGAGGGCGACGGGGCACTGTCTGGAGTGGCGGAGGCGCGAAGTCGTGGAGTCGCAGAGACGCGCACCGATAGAGGGCGCAATTCTCGGAGATATCGACTGCGGCTCCACGACTCCACGATAATTCCTTCCTCCATGATTTTCGGAGGTAGGTCGACTGCGGCTCCACGCCTCCACGCAGCCGTACGGAGGCGCGGATGTAGAGTAAAGTGGCCCTGCATTCTATAGTTGTACCGTCACTTTGATTGCCGTTTAACAAGGCCTACGTTATGAGTCACCCACCAAACAAACTGTTCTTTGCTCAGTTACTAGCTCTACTGAGTGTAGACCCGTGAACGTGGCGTTGTATTCAACGCCACGCGTTTCCCTCGCATAAATACAAGCGAAATCGTTATATCTTTTGATCCGCTACATATAACCACGTATAATTTTGCTCATAGCATAGGTAAATCACTTACTTGTTAGGCTTCCTGTGAATTTACGCGAGTGTTGGATCTGTCATTGTCAAGAAATTCGAAGTACAATACGGCACAACTTTGTCACAACGAATGTTTTCAAAATGATCAGAAATGTCACGTCAGATGCCCTCTTTCGGCAAGTTGGAGCAAGGTATGAGCTTCACGGCAAACACATTGAGCTATAAGTTTTCTGACTACTTTGCTGGTTTTTTTTTTCAAAATGTCCGCTGTTTGGGAACAAATGGAATGTCATGCATGTGTGGATCTATCCAGGGTTACTGTCTTTCTCATTTGTATTCTCTTTACCGGTTTTTGGGGGGTCTTTTTGTCCTCGCGCGGGTATGTTCACTATCATGCTACTATGAAGCCGTCATCAAAGTATGCCAAATCGGTGGAGCGTTTGTATGGAGGGGTACCCGTAATTCAACGCTCCACTCAGTAGAGCTACTCAGTTACTAGTGTTATGTCATGTTAGTAGTTTTCTTGAAAAGAATTCCATACATGGACATCCCTAGTCTGAGTAACTCGGACCCAACTTATCGCCTTTTTAACATTCGGACATGGTCTGGCGATAGTGGGGTCCAAGCTAATCCTTAATGCCGAGCAACACAATTCTGTCATTGACCCAAAAACCCAACATTGCCCAACAAAAACATCAGATTTCACCCTCAAAACAGCCTCCAAATTACTAGATACGCCACCTGAGGTACAAGTAGACATCGATAATTAAGATGGTTGTACTGAAGTTTACTTACAATCCGGATGAAAAGTGAAATTTCCCGTTCAATTCCAAGAGCTCCCCTCGCGATCGTGAACACGTTAAATTTCCGATTGGCGTTAATGTTTGAACGACGCGATGTGGTCTTCATGCCCAGCGTACATTCGATGGTTCCCGTATCCCGAGTGTGATTCCGTTACCGAGTGGGCGCGATGCATCGATTATGATAATGAGTAGACTGGATCACGTTTGTAAACACAAGTGCATTTCGAACGGTAAAAGGGAATTGGGAACCAGCTTGAACTGGTATCCGTCCATAAAAGCTGCCCTAGTTCCCTACTCCCTATTATCGTTCGAAATGCACTTGTGTTTACAAGCCAGGGTTCTCCCCACGTACACGATACGCTGGAATTGTGGCCCGATACGCCGACAAAAATGCCGATCACATTTTTCAGCCCCCGATACGCACAATATAATTATTATACAAGCCATTAAACTGCACAACATAATCGTTTCATACGCCATTATTTTATCTTGACATGCAAATCTTGACAAAAATCCCGTATTTCTGATGCATGTGTGATCAAACATGTCAAAATGCACACGATGACGGGTCTTTTGCGTCGACCGCCAGCACCCAGCGCATACAGCATGGTACACTGGTTCCCTTCGCATGCTAACAGTATCAATGCTATGATGAAGGACCGGAACCAGTGACTACAGCCTCGTGCGTGCATACATGATGATGATGTCGGCCGAAGTTGGATCGTAAAAACACCAAACAAACATCGAAAGAGAAAGGGAATTTCTGCAAATTAATTCACAGAACGTGATCTTTATTTTCTGTGTATATATTTTCCATTAAAATGACGAGATTGCAAAGCTCGAACTTGTGGCGAAACATTGTAATTTTCGGCCACGTGGGATGGGCCGTACACAGTGCAGTAATGCACACTGATACTGCGCCATGTGCACGGCGCGATGTACGGCCGGCCAGACTGAATGTTGACGGCGCCAGGGGCCGTGATGTACGTTAAGCATAGAGTGGAATCAACCACCTTAAATATATTTTTAATTAGGTGAGGCAAGTTTTAATCACTTTTGATGGTCAGTCTTGATAATTTTCGTGGTGCAAAGGAAAATAATCCGGGCACAAAACTACATGATTCCTTGTTCAATATGCTCCATTCAATCATGTGTTTTTATTCCTCCATGATTCAATCAGCAGCCAAAACAATTGGCGAAATAATTTTCCGACCTACCGACGCTATTTTGAAAGGCATGTAATCGGAAGCAAAAGTGATTTTTTTCTTCACCTTATTTTCTTAATTTGAAACTTGCTTGTAAATATAATCCATACTTTCTAGATCAGGAAGTTTTAACACAGGTTTAGAAATGTTGATTTTTTTTTTAAGTTAAAAATTTTGATATTTTTTTCCTTTAATTACAAAAAATATCACTCCTCTAAATTTTAAGGAAAAATCTTAAAGGTATAGTCCATCATTTGCAGCCATCCGAAAAGTAACTGGCGTAATTATTGTTGAAAAACACACTTGGTTGAAAAATAGTAAGGGGACTAAACTCCCTGTGAAATTATTCTTTCTGGGAAGCTGTCATTTTGAAGTAATCAACGAAAGAAGGCATTTCCAACGGTGATTCTTAAGAAGCACCGTAGGAAAATTTAAGTTAGTAGTTCGTTTTGTTATTCAGCGCAGCGCGCACAAGTATTGGAACGACGCACACGCGCGTGCGGTTGTTATAATTCGTCGGATCAGTGCGCGACGTCGCGTATAGCTGCAATTCAAAACAATTCAAAACATGATTCAGTAACTTTTGATTTGAAATTGAGATCTTAGAATGCTGTTTTTCTCGGAATGTACAGCTGAAGCTTAGCTGAAACTTCATCAGGTTAGTTGCTCAGTATCCTTCATTAGATTTTGAACTCTTTTGTTGCTTCAAACGAACAAAATGCACAAATTACAAATGATGGACTGTAGCTTTAATAATAATAATAGTGAACATTTATACCGCGCCATATCTGTCAATATGACACTCCTGGCGCAAATTATGAGAGGTGTTGACAATATCATACATATAATAATGGCGCATAATTACTCAATATTCATTCATGCAGTAGCAAACAGGTAAGTTTTCAATACGGGCGATTCCCAATAGTGCGCCTCCAAGAGTTTGCAACGCGTTGGCCAGTCACAATGCGCAAAATCTGTCGACCCAACGCCCGTTTGGAAAAGGTCGACTGATTTCGCGCATTGTGATTGGCCAACGCGCTGCAAACTCTTGGAGGCGCACTATTGGGAATCGCCCGTATTGAGTCTTAAATTGGGAATACGTCATCTGCTGCCGGAAACTAAGAGGTCGGGAACTAGGGCAGCTTTTATGGACGGATACCAGTTCAAGCTGGTTCCCGATTCCCTTTTACCATTCGAAATGCACTTGTGTTTACTAACGCGATCCAGTCTACTCATTATCATAATCGATGCATCGCGCGCGCTCGGTAACGGAATCGCACTCGGTATCCGGGAACCATCGAATGTACGCTGGGAATGAAGACCACATCCGTCGTTCAAACATTAACACGAACTGGAAATTGAACGTGTTCACGATCGCGAGGGGAGCTCACGGAATTGAACGGGAAATTTCACTTTCCATCCGGATCGTAAGTAAACTTCAGTACAAC